TTTTTATGTCTGGAAGGGGTCACTGCCCCACCCGCCGCCCTCTCGGCTCTGGGAGCATGGTGATGCGTGGGAGCCAGCCTGGGATTTCCTGCGGGAATCGGGGGTAAGGGAGGGTTCCTTCCTTCCAGTGTGGGGATATCATCTCCATGGCCACATAGCACGACTCTCTCAGAAGAGATATTGTAGCCATGTGGTCTTCACCCATTTTTATTCCTTTCCTTCAGCACTTTGCCATGATCTTGCTTCTCTGCTGTTTGRGAGCCCAGAGCCAGTGGTGGCACAACGGGACCCGGGAGCAACCTGTCCCATGCCAGGGCCTCCTACTTGGCTTAGACTGACCCAAGGACCAGTCATCCCCAGTGAGCTACCGAGGGGATCGATTTACAACCTAGCCCTAATCTAGTCTCCTGCTGCTTCAATGCTTCTTACTACATTTTAACCKGATATCTGGAMACCCTGCAGCTTCTGACATGGGTCCCTGGGTCTCTGCTAAACTGTGTTTGTCACCCCAGGCTTGCTCGCCTCTGCAGTTMCAGTTTGATGCTTTCGAGCTGCCTCCTGAAGCCCATTTCACCATCCRGAGTGACACTGGGATGGGCTKAGGTGTTGGTTTTAAGGAARCCCCTTTTCCATCTCTCCCRCCACCTGAGCCGCCATTACCATGGGAGAGAGAGAACTGAGCCCGCGCCACAGCGCCCCCTGCAGGCGCTGAAGAATGACTGCACCCGCTTGGCCGGGAGCCACCAGCGCCCCCTACGGCTCTGACCAGAACTGCAGCACAGGGGAAGGCAGCCCACTGTCCTTCAAAAGGACAAAAATTGCTAGTGTAACCCGTAATTTTAAAATCATATTTGTAAAGATAAATTGTATGTGGACCAAAGGGTGGCAATCAGTTGGATCTTGCCTCAAAGGCCCGTGAACATGGAGGAGTCAGTGATGCACACAACACCCAAGCTGAGTAGGCACAGTCTTGTGCTGTGCTGTACGTAATCCTTGGCCACAAAACAACCACAGACAAGTCGTTGAAACACAGGGGGATGTGGGCAGATCCCCCTTGGTTCTGGCTACTTTGACACCTGCCTGGCCTTGCCTTTATCACCAGGCGCATCAAGAACTTCCCATAAAAGCATTCTTGCTGTTTCACAGGGACAATCATGAGCAGGGTTGACTGCAGTTAAATAAGAGGAAGTCAGTGGAGCACAGATTGAAGAGAGAAAGAAGAAGGTGGGAGGGAAAGGGAAACTCTCTGCATCTGAGAAGAGGAAGGGAAGTCTAGGAAGCAGAGAAACTAATGAATGAGAATTGATCACCCTGCCTCGTGCAGCACCCAGGACATGGAAAGCAGGTGCTGTTTGTGCAGGGAGAAGTTTGTGCTCAGCTCTCTCATCAGCCTCACCACTGTGCTCACTCTCAGCACAGTAATATGTGCCAGAGTCATTGAGAAAGGCATGCTCTATGRAGAGGGTGATGCTGTCTCCTTGGATCTTGCTGCTCTTGAAACGGCTCTCAAAATCCTTCTCCACAGCTGCATTGACACCTTCTATTGCAGTAACCAGCAGGGTCAGCCTGGAGTCCTTCCCMAAAGGCAGCCAGTACCAGTACATCATTGTGTTGGAAGATTTCTTCTTGGAGCATTGCAGATTCACGGACTGGCCTTCTCTTATCACCATGTCTAGGGACTGTTCCAGAGCCAATGCTGGAAGGAAAAGAAGGAACAGTGAGGAGAGGGAAACAATGGAAAAATGTGAAGTAGGCACTGTGGGTTGGCAGGGTAAGGATGAGAAGGAATAGGGCAGGCTAGGGAGCAGTGCAAGTCTTGTGACAGCTCTTCAGATCAGCAAGTGACATCTCAATCACTCTCCAGTGGGCAAAATGCATTGCTGGGCAGGTTTCAAAACTAGTGGCCATCCAAAACTAGCTGCCATCTAGAGCTGCACAAAGTATGATAATTAGACAGCCATTGCTAAAAATTTGGGAATTTCTGCCCACCACATCACTTAACCTCAACACTTGGAGCTCTGCAGAAGGAAGTGCTGCCAGCAACAGCTTACACAGCTGGGAGAGCAGCACCAGGGTTGGTGAACGTGCTCAGGCCTGAGTTCAGTTCACTTACCCACAGGGGCCAGCATGGCCACAAAGAAACAGCAGGGAACCATGGGGAAAATCCCTTACGCTCTCAGTAACCTGCCTGGTGCAGCTGCCCAAAGAGATGTGAAGGGGGAGCAGTGAGTGAGGGTGAGCCCTGCTGGGGTGGGGCTGGCCAAGAGCTGTGAGAAGGGATTGGCTGGCTGGGAACACTGGGCAATGACACAAACCATGAGAGGAAAGAGAGGCCCTGCAGAGATGCAGCAGGTGGAAGGGCAGGCAGGGCCTGGGTGGGTTTGGGAGGGAAGGGAGGGGATGTATGGACAGAAGAGT